CGAGGGTCAGTGTGTGTGGGAGCCGTGCCCCAGGGAGAGCTTACTGTTAGATGGGAACACAAGGGAATTCTCTGATAGAGGTTGACCTTTGGGAATGAAGCTTCAAGACAGGTAAATTCTTGAATCGAGATGATCTCAGGCAGTGATTTCTTTCCCCAGAAAATCTGCAGTGTATCAATGCTTTGATTTAATGCTACCTGTACAATCATAAGAGATTGGAACAGGCTGTTCAGTCTTCCGAGCCTGCTGCACCAGTCAGTAAGATTGTGGCTCGTAAGTTTGTGGCCTCAACCCTGCATTCCTGCAGCACTGCCATGACCCACAACTGCTTCTTCAATCACAAATCATTGAAGGCTGAGTGGGTTAAGGAGTCAGCCTCCACCAACACTGGATCCTCTGGGAGGAGGAATTTCCCTCAAACTCCATCTCAATGCCATAGAGGGGTACAGCCCAGAGAAAGGCCCCTTAGCTGATCAAGTCTGTGTCAGTCAAAAGGACCAGCTGCAGAGCTCACTACTTCGACCTCAAGGGCAGCTAGGGACAGGCAGTAAATGCTGGCCTAGCCAGTGACACTCACAGCCCCCAAATGTATGATAAGGAAAGAGTTTGCCTTTTTTTCTAACAAATTCACATTTTCCATCTGCTGTGTTCTGGTCCATTCATTTACCCTGTCGGTCTAGGCCTGAAACATCAGCCTTCCTGCTCCTATGAAGCTGCTTGGCCTGCTGTGTTCATCCAGCCCTACACCTTGTTATCCAAATCTGCTCGAAGCCTTTTTGCATTTTTGTTGCATTTTTGTTACATTTTACTCTGCCACCCAGTTTGGTGTCAGTTTTACAATTGGTTTCCACATGCAAATTGTTGACCTAGATTGTGAACAGTTGTGGCCCTAGTACTGACCCCTGCAGCATCCCACTGGAAACAGCCCGACTTCCTCAGAATGACCTGTTTATATCTACACTCTACCTCTTGTCTATTGGCAAATTCTCAGTCCATGCTCATACATTGTCCCCATCCCATGTTTTTGAATTTTATTTACTAACCTCCTGTGTGGAACCTTCTACAAAGCCTACTGCAATCCAAGTCTATCACATCCACAGGCTCTGCTTTGTGGTCCACTTAATATCATCATTGTAGGTGGACCAAGTAAATTTAAGGCGAGAGTTTGGTTGTGGTTATTGGGATGAGTGTCTGAGCTGTGTTTAACTTTGTCCTTGCTAACATGCCCCTTGGGGCCTAGGCTTCAACTTTTGCTGGACCAATAAGGTGAGAGTCTGCCCTAAACTGGCAACAGCTTCTGAGATTCGCTCTGGTTCCAGCTTCCAAGGCCGTTTGCATTGCTGAAAGCTCTGACCCAGCCGTGGCTAACGGAAAGTATGTGACTGTGATACCGGGGCCTACAGCTCTGTAGCTCAATTGGAGCCAGTATGAGCTGTGCTTTTGGATAATATCATAGGAACAAGGGGAGGCCATTCACCTGCTTGAACCTGCTACTTTGGAACAGGAGGAGGCCTGTTAGATTGCTCTGCCATTTAACTGCATCGTGGATGTTCTGTATCTCAACTCTATTCACCCACTTTGGCTCCATGTCTGTCAGGATGGGCAGTAAATTTTAGTCCAGCCAGTGACGCCCATATCCCGTGAGTGAATGTAAAAGAAAGGGCCATGGGGAATATCTTCACTGACCTCTCAGATCTGATTTCAGAGGTGGCTATGGATGTGAGGCTTACTGTGCCTGTTCAGCAGTGTCAGTGTAAAAGACTGCTGGGATCGTTATGAGCAAGATTGCTGCCTCCATAACCACCTGATAAGATCTCCCTTTATCAAACTATATGTGGAGGATTAACAGTCAACACAGTGTGGAGCTGGAGGAACACAGCAAGTCAGGTAGCATCAGAGGAGCAGGAAAGTTGTGTTTCAGGTCGGGATGTTTCAGGAGACAATAGCAGTTGCAGTTTGTCCTAAAGTTGGAATAGGTGTTCCCAAGTTCCAGAATGGGGTGTTTTTAAGTGTGATTTCAGAGATTGTACAAGTTCAGCTGGAGAGTGAGAGGCAGCTAAACAGTGGGAGGAGATCTGCCTTTTGGTGAAAGTCACTAGTTGATGTGGTATAACCTGTTTGGCTTGTTCTCACTTCCCAGCCATCTGTGTTCGCTGGATGCCTGATGGAAGCTGTGATTCTGGTCCCAGAAACTGCATTCAGTACCATGAAGTAATGCAGTGCTTATTACTCCCAATGATTCAGAGAACTGGGATAATATTCCAGAGGACATGAGTTCACAGCCCACCATATAGAAGGAAAATTTATTTTTAAAATGCAGTGAAATAAGTTGTCACATAGCACCAGAATTGTGTGTTTCGATAGCTTGTTTGACACAGTAAAACCTCCCACAGCACTGCACAGGAGTGTTTGCAAACAGATTTGACACCAAGTTGCATTTGGGGCAGATCACCCAGCCTTTGGTTAAAGAGTTTGATTTTAACGAATGAGAAGGCTTAAGGAGGGGATTTGAGAGCTCGGGCCAGGCAGCTGAAGGCTTGGCCAACTATGAAGATGTGATTAAAAACAGGGTTGTGCAAGAGGCCAGAATTAGGGAGTGCAGAGATACCAGAGCCTGTGGGACTGCAGGAAGTTAAAGAGGGCGAGTTGCAAATAAGCAGGTTTTTTTTTATTCATTCATAGGACAAAGGTGTCTCTGGCTGGCCCAGCATTTGTTGTCATTCCTAATTGCCCAGAGGACAGTTAAAAATCAACCGCATTGCTGTGGATCTGGAAGTTACATGTAGGCCAGAGCAGGTAAGGACAAAAAATTTCCTTCTCTGAAGGATCTTAATGAATCAGACAATAATCAACAGCGGTTTCATGGTTGCCATTAGGCCAGCTTTTCAGTAATTGATTTCAAGTTTCACCATTTACCACAGGATTCAAACCCATGTTCCCAGAACGTTAGCATTGGATACTGGATTACTAGACCCATTACGTTACCACGACACCAGCCTCTCTTTGAGCATTTTAAAATAACGCTGACCCTTAACTGGAAGCCATTGTGAACATATGGGGAATGAATGGGATTTGAAGTGAGTTAAGACACAGTCAGCAGAACTTAGCAAGGGAGGGACCTGGGATCCCGGCAGGAGCACTTTGGAACAGGTAACAAGGATATGGATGAAGACTTCAGCACAGGAGAGAAGACAGGTACTGGTGCTGTTATCCAGGTGGAAATACACTGTCTGGTTGATTAGTGAATGAGCTGATCTTGGGGCCAGCAATGTCACCAGGGTTGTGAATGGTTTGGTTTAGTCTCCGACAGATGCCAGGAAAAAGAATGGCATCTGTTGATGGAAAATGCAGAATGTCATGCAAACTGAATTTCTGCTTATCTAGTACAGGATGTTATCACTGGAATGTGGGCATCAATGTTAAAGCCAGTATTTGTTGCCCCTCCTAACTTTAACCAGAAGCACCTCCCTTGAGATCCCTAGCAGCATTCCCTCTAATTTTGTTTCCGGCTGCACAGGCCTCCAAGGTCTGTGCGTGGCAGTGCTTTCTGGAACTGGAAATCAATTCAAAGATTGGTGTGTTGACGCTGATCGCTGTGCAGTGAACCTTGCAATGGCTGTGCAAATGCAGCTTCGAGGAACATTAATCCCCAGCATCATGGATGCCAGCAATTGTACTAAAGACATGTACCCCAGAACTAATGACTCCCCTAGATCATCTGTTCCAGTACAGTTACAAAACAAGTATCTACCTGAAATTGTGGGAAATTGCCCAGGTATGCCCTCTGCATGAAGAGCAGGCAAAATGTGCCTTGGCCAATTACCACCCCATTATCAGTCTACCCTTGATTATCAGTAATGCAATGGAAGGTATCTCAGCGGTGCTATCAAGCAGCACTTACTCATCAACAACCTGCTCTCTGACACTTAGTTTGGATTCCACAAGAGCCACTGAACTCCTGACCTCATTACAGCCTTGGTCAAACGTTGACAAAAGAGTTGAACCCAAGAGTTGAGGTGAGGTGAGGTGAGAGTAGGTGCCCTTAACACCAAGGCAACATTTGACTGTGTGTGGCATGCAGGAGCCCTATCAAAACTGGAGTCAGTGGGTATTATGGGGAAAACTCTTTGCTGATTGGAGACACAGCTGGTACAGAGGAAGATGATTTTGGTTGTTGGACATCAGTCATCTCCACTTCAGAACATATCAACAGCAGTCCCTCAGGTAGACTCCCAGGCCTGAACCATCTTCAGCTGCTTTATCAATGACCTTTCCCTCTTCTTGGGGATGTTTGCATAATGTTCAGCACCGTTCACAACTCCTTAGATACTAAAACAGTCTCTGTCCAAATGCAGCAGGACCTGGACAGTATCCAGGCTTGGACTGACCAGTGGTAAATAATATCAGTGCCATGCAAGTATCAAGCAATGACCATCTCCAACAAGAGAGAATCTAACCATCGCCTCTTGACATTCGATGGCAATACCATCACTGAGCCCCCCCACTAACAACAGCCTGGAGATTACCAGAAACTGATTTGGAATTGCTGTGTAAGCACTGTGGCTACAACAGCAGGTTGGAGTCTGGGAATCCTGTGGTGAGTTATTCAATTCCTATTCCCCCATAGTGTGTCCACCATCTAAAAGACACAGTCATGGAGTGTGATGGAATACTCCCAATTTGCCTGGAAGAGTGCAGCCCCAACAAGACACTCGGCATCATCCAGGACAAGCAGCCCACTTGATTGGTCCCTCATCTAACACCTTAAACATTCACTCCCTCCACCACAAATGCAGTCACAGCAATGTGTACCATTTCCTTGATACACTGCAATGACTCACCAAGGCTGCTGAGACAGAACCTTCCAAAGCCAAGACCGCTACCACCTAGAAGGCCAAGGGCAGAACGTACGTGGGAAATTTACAGGCTGTGAGTCTCGTCAGGGTCACCCAGCAGCCTGCCATGGAACTTTCTCACCATTCCATTACTGTCTGCGTCAGAATCCCTCAGCAGTATAGGCATGGCTACACCACATGGACTGCAGCTCCACACCACCTTCTCAAGTGCAGTTAGAGAGAGACAAGAAATGCTGCCCTAATCCAATCCTGTGAACAAATTAAAAATGAACTCACTCCAGTGGCTTTCTCAGCCATTTCTGAGGGCAGTTAGATTAGCATGATTGTATAATATATAGTATGATTATATAAGATTGTATTGGTCTGTTTGTGTTTCAAATTGCCATTCCCATTTCTCTCTGATTAATCTTTGATACTCCTGCCTTGCAAGAATCTATCTACCATGGCCTTAAAGATATTTGATGATCCTGTTGCCGCCACCTTTGAGATAGAGTGCTCCAGAGTCACACAACCCTCTGAGAAAAACTCTTCCCACATCTTTGTCTGAAAAGAGTCACTGCTAATTTTAAAAGTGTTCTCTTGTTCTGGACTGACCCACAAGATGAAGCAACCTCTCTATGTCTACCTTGTTGAGACCATTTAGGATCTTATGCAGTTCTCTGAGGGAAGTGAATCTGTGGGATTCTTTATACAGAGGGCCCTTAAAGATCAGCAAGGCCACCTATGTTTGGAATCGCAGGGGATGGGGGAGATACTAAACAAGTGCTTTGCATCACTGTTTACTGTGGAGAAGGATATGGAGGATAGAGGATGTGGGGAAAGAAATAGTGACATCTTGAAAAATGTTCATATTACAGAAGAGAAGATGCTGGACATCTTAAAATGCATAAAAAAGCTCAGGACATGCTAATGTACCCTAGAACTCTGTGGGAAGCTAGGAAAGAGATTGCTGAGCCTGTTGTTGACATATTTGTATCATCAATAGCCACAGCTGAGTTGCTGGAAGACTGGAGCTTGGCGAATGTGGTGCCACTATTTAAGCAAGGTGGTAAGGAAAGGCCAGGGAACTATAGACCATTGAGCCTGACATCGGTGGAGGGCAAGTTGTTGGAGGGGATCCTAAAGGACAGGATTTACATGTATTTGGAAAGGCAAGGACTGATTAGGGATAGTCAACATGGCTTTGTGGGAAATTGTGTCTCATTAATTTGTTTGAATTTTTTTGGAGAAGTAACAAAGATGACTGATGAGGGCGGTGGATGTGATCTGCACAGACTTCAGTAAAGTGTTTGACAAGGTTCCTCATGATAGACTGGTTAGCAAGGTTAGATCACACTGAATGGAGGGAGAACTAGCTATTTGAATACAGAACTGGCTCAAAGGTAGAAGACAGAAGGTGGTGGTTGAGGGTTGCTTTTCAGACTGGAGGCCTGTAACCAGCAGTTTGCCACAAGACTTGGTGATGGGTCCACTGCTTTTTGTAATTTATATAAATGATCTGGATGTGAACATAGGAGGTATGGTTAGTAAGTTTGCAGATGACACCAAAATTGGA